AAGACAAGAAAATCGCAAGAAGCAAGCTGAAGAAGAAGCGAGAAGGCGCTTAGAGGAAGAGAGGCGTGCCTTTGAGGAAGCCAGGAGGCACATGGTAAATGAGGAGGATGAAAACCAAGATGCAGAAAAAGTTTTTAAAGAATATCGCCCTGGAAAACTCAAACTGAGTTTTGAAGAAATAGAAAGGCAAAGGAGAGAAGATGAAAAAAGAAAAGCAGAGGAGGAGGCCCGAAGGAGAATCGAGGAAGAGAAGGCAGCATTTGCTGAAGCAAGAAGCATGGTATTAGATGATGATTCTCCAGAGATATATAAAACAGTTTCTCAAGAATCTTTGATGCCTGGAAAACTGGAGATTAATTTTGAAGAATTATTAAAACAAAAAATGGAAGAAGAAAGACGACGAACGGAGGAGGAACGGAGGCATAAACTAGAAATGGAGAAACAGGGATTTGAGCAACTGAGACAAGAAATGGGAGAGGAAGAAGAAGAAAATGAAACTTTTGGATTGAGTAGAGAATACGAAGAATTAATCAAATTAAAAAGAAGTGGTTCTATTCAAGCTAAAAGTCTAAAAAGCAAGTTTGAAAAAATTGGACAGTTGTCTGAAAAAGAAATACAGAAAAAGATAGAAGAACGAGCAAAGAGGAGAGCAATTGACCTTGAAATTAAATAGCGAGAAGCAGAAAACTTCCACGAGGAAGATGATGTTGATGTAAAGCCTGCAAAAAAAAAAGTGAATCCCCCTTTACTCATAAAGTGAACATGAAAGCCAGATTTGAACAAATGGCTAAGGCAAGAAAAGAGGAAGAACAACGGAGAATAGAAGAACAGAAGTTACTACGAATGCAGTTTGAACAGAAAGAAATTGATGCAGCACTACAGAAGAAAAGAGAAGATGAGGAAGAAGAAGAAGGTAGCATCATTAATAGCTCCACTACTGAAGATGAAGAGCAAACAAGATCAGGAACTCCATGGTTCAAAAAGCCTCTAAGAAATACCTCAGTTGTAGACAGTGAGCCAGTCAGATTCACTGTTAAAGTAACAGGAGAACCCAAACCAGAAATCACATGGTGGTTTGAAGGAGAAATGCTGCAGGACGGAGAAGACTACCAGTACATTGAAAGAGGTGAAACTTACTGCCTCTATTTACCAGAAACTTTCCCAGAAGATGGAGGAGAATATATGTGTAAAGCAGTCAGCAATAAAGGCTCTGCAGCAAGTACCTGCATTCTTACCATTGAAAGTAAGAATTAATTGGCTTTTGACCCTTTCTTTCATTAAGGAAATAAATAGCAAAGAAAAAAAAAAAAGAAGTCTCCATGTCATTATTTGGGAGCCAGCAATCCAAAGATAGTTCAACAAGAAAGCTTACTACAGATTATCACTTATTTAATAGCTAATACCCACTTAAAAGTGAATACATACCATATTTGTCTTTCTGTGTCTGGGTTACCTCATTCAGTATGATTTTTTTTTCTGATTCCATCCATTTGCCTAAAAAATTAATGATGTCATTTTCTTAACAGCTGAGTAATACCCCATTGTGTAAATGTACCACATTTTTATTATCCATTCTTCAGTTAAGGGACATCTAGGTTGTTTCCAGTTTCTTGCTATTATGAATAAAGCTGCTATGAACATAGTTGAGCAAGTGTCCTTGTGGTAGGATCAAGCATTCTTAGTGTATATGCCCCAGTGGTACAGGTGAGTCTTGAGGTAGATAAATTCCCAATTTTTGAGGAACCACCATGTTAATTTCCAAAGTGGCTTTTAAGATTTTGCACTCCTATCAGCAATGGAGGAGTATTCTTCTTGCTCCCCATCCTCACCAGCAATAGCTGTCACTTGTGTTATTCATATTAGCCATTCTGACAGGTGTAAAATAGAATTTCAAAGAAGTTTTGATTTGCATTTCTCTGATACCTAAGTATATTGAATATTTCTTTAAACGTTTTTCTGCCATTTGAGTTTCCTCTTTTAAGAATTATATTTAGGCCAGGCGGTGGTGGCGCACGCCTTTAATCCCAGCACTCGGGAGGCAGAGCCAGGCGGATCTCTGTGAGTTCGAGGCCAGCCTGGGCTACCAAGTGAGTTCCAGGAAAGGCGCAAAGCTACACAGAGAAACCCTGTCTCAAAAAACCAAAAAAAAAAAAAAAAAAGAATTATATTTAGATATTACTCTATTCTTTAATTCGATTACTTGGTTTTTCTGATACCTAATTTCTTGAGTTATTATTATATTTTGGATATTAGCCTTCTGTAAGACGTGGAGTTGGTAAAAGCCTACTCCCCATGTAGTAGGCTTCCTTTTTGTCTAATTGAAGGTATCCTTTGTCTTACAGAAGCTTTCCAGTTCTATGACATTCCATTTATTAATTGTTAATCTTAGTGCCTGTGTTGTTGGTGTTCTGTTCAGGAAGTGGTCTCCTGTGCCAATGTATCCAAGACCATTTCCCACTTTCTCCACTATCACATTCAGTGTCTCTGGTTTTATGGTGAAGTCTTTGATATACTTGGACTTGAGATTTGTGCAGGGTGATATATATGAATCTATTTGCATTCTACATGCCGACATCCAGTTTAACCAGCACCATTTGTTGAAGATGCTTTTTTCCCCCACTGTGTATTTCTGGCTTCTTTATAAAAAAATCAGGTGTCCATATGTGTGTGGATTTATGTCTGAATCTTTAATTCAATTCTGTTGATCAATGTGTCTGTTTTTAATGCCAATATCATGCAGTTTTTATTACTATAGCTCTACAGGTTAAAATCAGGGATGGTAAACCTCCAATAGTTCTTTTATTGTTAAGGATTATTTTTTAGCTATCCTGAATTTCTTTATATGAAATTGAGAATTGTCCTTTCAAGTTCTATAAAGAATTATGTTGGAATTTTGATGGGGATTGTGTTGAATATATAGATTACTTTTGGTAGGATGATCATTTTTACTTTGTTAATCTTAGGATCCATGAGGATGGGAGATCTTTGCATCTTCTGATATCTCTTCTTCAATTTCTTTCTTCAAAGACTTGAAGTTTTGTCATATAAATCTTTCATTTGCTTGGTTAGAGTTACCCCAAGATATTTTATGTTATTTGAGCCTATTGTGAAGGGTGTTGTTTCCCTGATTTCTTTTTCAGTCAGTTTTTTGCTGATTTTTAAAAGTTAATCTTCTATCTAGCCACTTTGCTGAAAGTGTTTATCAGTTGTTGGAGTTTCCTGGTCTATTGGCAGGAATGACCTGTGTGGTTGAGCAGCTGGGTCACAGTGATATAGTGGAGGTTAGACAAGGGGTGGATGATCTGTGGAATCCACAGGAGGCTTGGACTGGGTAGGGGTGGAGGTAGGGGTAGGGTATAATGGCATGGAGGTGGGGTGGGATGGGAGGGCTGCAGCTGATGTTCTGTTGTAGCACTAGGGGTGATGCTGAGAATTGAGTCTAGGGGAGCAAAGAGAACAGAGAAGGTCAAAGGGTAGCCTACCTGGTCTTCTGGAGGGTGTATCTTGTGGTTGAGCCAAAAAGACATTTTTAATAGCAGAAACAAAAAATTGAACGGTGGGCCATCAGTTTGACATCTCTCATGGTACCCAAGTCTGAGACTGGGTGGTCTTTCTGCAGGGACACCCTTGAAAATTTCCTACCGACCTACAGTTTGAGAAGAGCCCCTCTGAGATGTGTTTTGCCCCGAGTTGAGGAAAGCCTGCAAATCAATGGGGCAGACTTATATCCTGGAGAAAAGGATATCTACACTCAAACACCAGATGGTATCTTGTCAGCCGTATGGGTGATCTTGGACATGTTATTCACAATAATATGGGCTTCAGATACCCTTGTAGGTCAAGCTGGACACTATTCCCACATGGAGGATGCAGAGGCTCAATGCAGGTCTGTATCCCTGCTGAACTTCTGTTTTCTTGTTTTTATCAGCTGGGCACAACCTAGTCCCACTGCCATTTGCTTCTCTTTCCCAAACAAGTAAAGATCTATCTCTAAAGAGGCACAGTTGTTTATATCTGTAACTCTTCTCCTTTCCACCCATGTGGCTGAAGAGATCATTCATATCAAATGCTGTGCATAGTACATACCTATTATATTCTGAGAGTATATATACAAAATACTCTGCAGTAATTTGTAAGATGAAGGGATGTCAATATGGAAGTAAAGGAGAATTCCATCAGACCAGAGTTCTCTCAAGAGGACTTCCTTTTCTAGGGAAAGTAGAAAAATAAACTTAACTTTTGTTAATTGACAGCAATAGAAAGAGTATTACAGAATGGGGGAAAATTGATTGTTAGACTTTCTGCCTGTAGAGGTTATATGCTGCTGTGTTTAGTGCTCAGCCTGTACAATCTCATTGAATTTTTACAATTATTTTCAAATATAAATGCTATATTTTGTCCTATTTTACAAAGGTCAAGGACCTGGAGGAATTAACTGACTTGCCCGAGGGCAGGTAACTACTAAACATTCAACCCAGGATCTGCGTTCAATGATGGTAGGCTTTGAAGTCCATGGTTCTTACCAATGGGCTGGCTGTATTATCAAACATTCATTCATTCCTACCATGAGTAGCTATTGAACTTCTATTTTGCACTGGTACTGTTTTGGAGCCTGGGAACATAGAAAAGAAGAATGCAGGCAGACTATTTAAATAATTCACATGCTGGGGAAGAAATTAACAATGAAGTGAGTGGTCACAAAAGTAAACAAAATAACTGAGATGAATGCCAGAAAAAAAAGGAATACTGAGATTTGTCTGTGAAGAAGGGGCTTATCTAGATAAGGCGGGTTGTGCGGCTGCCGTCAGTTAGGCATAGCATAGCCAGAAGCCAATAAGCTGAGGTATACGCAGAAATGCTCAGTCACAGGGAATAGCAAGTCCAAAGAGAATTGCCTGGTTTGTTAGAGGAAGAGAAAGAGTAGGCTGGAGCTAGAAACAGCTAGGATGCAGTTAGGGAACAAGAGCTGAAAGTGAGGCTCCCTGGAAGCACCTGTGGCCACAAGCTTTTGTCATTCCAATAAAAGAATCAGTCTTTTTGAGAGGAAGGTAGGTTCTGCAAAAATGAAGCAGAGATGTTCACAGAGTAAAATGAGCAAGGTACTGTTAACTTCAGTGTTTTTGTATAACTTTCTCCTTGTGGTTCAGTGGATTAGTAGGTCAGTGGGTTCAGTGGGATATTGTCAACCCACATATCTACTTTCTGCTGCTAAGCACACACTGGGTAAAAATATTAATATATGTGTATTTAGCTATTTGTCTATCTTTCTGAAATATATTTGGATCCAGAGGCTGGATCTGGTGAGTACTCTCATAATACACCATATTACTGTTGAAAGCATCCCACAATGAGAGAAAGAAGTAGAGGATGAATAGGAGAGTGGACAAGAGAGAAGACTAAATTTATTCTATCAAAATCCCTTTCTGTTATAACCAGCCTATCCCCGTGATAATATTACCAACCCATCGGCCAGAGCAGCTCCACTTAAAAGTGTCAGCCTCATGATGATAATTAAATTTCAACACAGTTTTGGAGGTGAGGGTCAAGGCTTAGTACTCTGACATGGAAAGTCAGATTTTACTCTATTTAAGAGTCAATTTGATTGCATGTGTTCCTGTGGGAGGGAGGCATAAATGTTTGGGGTAGTCTTTTTCTTACTACAGATTGAATAAATGTTCTTGGTGGTTGTGAACATGTAAAAATAGAAGCTAGAGTTCAGCAGTCATCATTGACAACTGAATGCACTGCTCAGTGCACGATGGAGGTGTGGTGGCCAGGGAAGGAGTCTACCCAAGTCCAGTACCAGCCCATAGCTATTCTAGCATCAGGACAGATGTGATATGGGCCTAGAAGAATAGCAAATATGAGGTCACAGTTTAGCTTCAGCTGAACAGACGTATACTCTTGGGCCCTCCCATGATCCAGAGCCCAGGACTAGAGTGGTAGTAGAGGCAATGGAAACCAGGAAGGAAGCTCACCTGTGCAGATGAGGAGCCCAACCAGCTTTTTTGTATGCTGTGTTATTCTGGGTATTTGTGGGTGGCAGAATGCAAGAGACAATAAAGGAAAAATTTGTGGGTAAGCTTTAAAGATGTGGTCTACCCTGGATGCTAACATGGAATAGGAGAGAATTAGTTTTTCAGGAGGAGATTCTAGCTATGTGTGGATGCAGTTTGGGGCCCCAGGGAACCAGCTAGGGTAAAGAGATTTGGAAACAAATAGAGAATTTTATATGTGGCTTTGGATATCTGGTGATGGGACTGTGGGTCTAGGATACAGGGCCCCAAAGGAATGAGACTCTC